AGTAAAAAGAGAGATGATGATATTATAAGCTTCTTTCGGCACATTGCATATCAAAACCGTCATCTACGTTGTGGAATAGTCTGTTTTTAAGGGCCGAATCGTCCTTTATTTCATCAATAAATCAAGCTCGAGTTAATTACAGAATGATAATGTTACTACGTACACTTGGCGCGTGTACAAAACTCGTGATATCTACGATTGAAAGCCATTATTTGATTATAATCCTTATTAAAATGTACATTAATTTTCGAGAGCTTCCTGCTCAATGAGATTCGTCACCTTAGAAAGTAAAATACAACCGAAACTGTAAACGCGATGCCGAGCAAACGAATTGGCCGAAACTTTTAGAATGATAAATCTACATTAAGTTAACTACCGCGAACGATATTGTTATGTTTTCAATAATTGACAACGACAAAATTACAAAATAATCCATTATTAATCATAATAATACATATAAACAAAAAAAAAAACTTGATCTTATTAAACGTATTTCTTCATCAACTATAAAAGTTAATTTAATTCGTAAACTACCGTGACTCACTTGATGTTTAAATAAATGCAAAATGTTCACGATATACTATTATATTAGCATTATTGTTGAATTTTTTAATCTTCAACTTTGTCAGTCAAAGTCGTTATTTTTCGTGAAGTTTTCATGCTTTTGCCACTTAAACGTGATATTGACTGAATACCTTAAACAACAACAACAAAAACAACAACAACAACAACAAAATGAGAGAGAAAAGAAAGAAAAGAAGAAGAAAAGAAAGGTTTATAATACTTTGCGTGCACTTACACTACACTAGCTTTCTATCCCAATGAAATATAAGCCCTATTATTCATGAAAGTCCTCCTCCTCCCTTTACATCATATTGATTAACCTTAGGCCTATTTATAGTCCAACGAAAGATCTCAATAATTTGAAAATACATGAAGCTTTGAATAAATCCATTGGATTTATCTTAGACGTGATTGTCAAACTATTCTTTATGGACAGGAATAAAGTTGGGGAAAATAAAAACGGGGATTCTCAACTGTATGGCAAAGTCTTGAAAACGAAAGAGAAAAGTAGTTATTTCTTTAAAAAGTCCTAATAATTGTCGGAGTATGTAAGAGACGAGAATTTGAAACTTCTTGAGTCACTGTGTACAATGAATCTTCATTTCAAGTTTCAGTGATTAATTTGGTCGACTTTTTCTCCGACTGTAAGACAGAGTCAACTGTAAAATTTAAATATACACTCGGTGTTTCTTCTTTCTATCCAGATTCACGAAATTCAATGCTAACAATTTCATAATTGTAATATGTGGGTCATTAATAATAAACAATAAATATTAATTTAATATTACTGATTCCATATGAAGAGAAATTTAATTTTTACAATTTACGAATTATCGTCTAAGATAATAAGACGATTTCTATGTAAATTCACGTATTCGGGAGACTAATGCCATTAATATACTCATCTCAAAAAAAAAAAAAACAAAAAAACAAAAAACAAAAAAAAATAGATAGACCTCTGAATCTTTATTTCATTTCTAATAATTTTTACTTTTTTGATTTTTTTTATTTTTTTATACGTAATTTTCTCATAAAACTTATTATCACCATTTCCTTTTTTCCTCGTATATATATATATATATATATTAGTTCCTTTATACATTTATAGTCTCATTTGGTAACGTTTATACGTTATTTTGATCTTTAAGGGCATTAGAAAGTTTTTGTTAAAGTTTTCGCATTACGTTTCTCGGGATCAAAGAGAGAAAGTTCTCACGAAAGCAAATTAAATTTTGGACATATAGCCTAGTTACTTTTAACCTATCCTCAAACATCTTAATAAATTACTAGACTTTTATCATTGAAACTTTAAATTGAATATTAATTATGAAAACGATCAAGACCTACATAATTCATACATTTATACACACTTTTATACGGAATTTAAGATTACGCTCTTGTCTCATTGATTTCTCTCGATTAACAATCGAGCCATTTTCAACCTACAATTATCATATTAAGCAAATATTTACTTAGTTTTTCACAAAAGGGCTCAATTTTTATCTACATATGCTTCACAAAAATAGACTATTTAAACTATGTTTAACTTTAGATCAGTCAAAGGCAAAACTGACACGTTCAATCGACTACACGTTGCTTTTTATAAAACGATTCTCTCTCTCTCTCTCTCTATATATATATATATATATATATATATATATATATGTGTATATATATCTAACTCTCCATTACGCGAGTATCGGTAAAACCTTGCGTATCGTTCTAGTATTAATTACGATACTCAACTTCATTCTCAGTATTATTATAATTAAAGATTAAATAATGTGCGATCGATCGATCCAATATAGTTTGTCCATATATTTATGAATTAAAGGAAAATTTGGCCACATTGATAGAAAAAAGTAGTAGTTTCACACGCGAGCGAATACACGTTAATCGCTGTTGTTTTTCAGACGATATTTCGATTTGATAAATGATGTAATCGATCGGTTGTCCGAATCGCTTCAACATCTGTTCAACGATACGTTTACGATACGAATTTTCCCACAAACTTAAAATGTCATAATGACTTTCTTATTTACACGCTGATTTTTTAATGGATCGCGCTTAAATTATTCCCTCTTCCTGGCAACTATCGCAACTCGTATACTTGATCGAATAGATTAATGCTCAATAGCTTGGATATTATATTTCAACGAATGGTCGTAGTACGAGAAGCGTTCGATGTTTCTTTCATTCTCCGAGTTTATAAATATCATTTTTCTATCCTATCAATTGCCATTAAAACGGCCTAGGCTAATAATTTTATGAGTATAGTTGGCTGTAAAATTATTGGACGGGCGATCGAGTTTGGAAAATAATTTAACTAACTCGTCACGAAAGACTCGATAGAGTTATAGTCATAAGCATATAATAATCGATCTAAATAAATAGCACGGAGAACGTTAACGTTACATCCATTATCCGTAACTTTCCACTGTACACAGCGATCCCAGTGTCAAAATGTGTACGAGCTTTTTGTTTTTTTTTTGCCCCCCCCCCGCCCTTTTATTGCTTATTGAAACGAGCAAAATGTGTAAATGGCACGCTAAGTACCGAGGCGAGTGATAAAAGCGCGTCGAGCACGTACCGTTACAACGAGCCGTTCTTATACAAAAATAAGC